GTAGTACTGATGAAAGTTGGCACAAATACTAGTATGTTTGTAATGGAACAAATGGTGACTGCTCAAAGACAGTTGACATACACTGACGTTTTTAGTAATCTCCATAAATTATCCTGAGGGGCTGGATGTGAGGAAGAAAACATTTTGAGTCAGTTGCTGTGAACATTCTCCGGAGTTTCTCCTGCCGGGTCCCTCGTAAAAACTCCGGACATTGTCCGAATGAGCCAATGTGGAGATAATCTGGAGGATTTACTGTGAGTGAGTCGGCGTGTTGATGACGTTTCTGACAGATGCAAAACTTCATTATATATGAAAGGAAAATTGTGCTGACATTTTCAGGGGTTTATGTCTGAGAACAGTTTAAGTGATGCAGGCAGGAGAACCAGCTCGACCTACACCTGGTCCAACAGCAGCAGAGCTAATAGCGTAGTTTGTACTGTGGAATTATACATAAACATTTTCTGAAACCATTTTTAATTGGCATGACCAAGAGGGGGCTTAAAAAAATAAGAAATCCATCACGAATCTTTAGTGTCAGTAATGACATCTTCGAGATGCAGTCTGATTCAAAACCAAATATGGCTTCACCTCCTCTGGATTTAGAATAAAACCCTTGTACAGAATACGAGGAAGATTTCTGAAATATATTCATAGATTATTTGTTTGCTGTTGTTGTGTTTTTATTGTTTTATATGCATTTTGTCAGTTTGTATGTCCAGGAAAACATGAACAGTATAGAAGGTGCATGTAGATACAATTGTTTCAGATAAAGAATAACTGAAGGAAGCGTGGACTCACAGTCCAGTGAAAAATCCCCTTCAGCGTTAACACCTTAACTTTAACGATCAATTTATAGCTAATCCTAACCTTGACCGAAACACAAATCATATCCAACCCTTAACATCAACCAGGACCTCTGGAATGATGTTTGCCTCATTAGGACTGGGCTTCGAGGTCTCCTGGTCCTGACAAGGTCCAGTAGTAGTAATAAACTTACTTCAGTTACCTGAAGA